GCGTAGAAGGGCCCACTCGCTCCGCTCCGCGATAGAGGGCGTCGATACAGTCGCGGCCAGGAGCCGCGTCCGGCGGCAAGCCCTGTGTCTTCAGGCCGCTTCAGGCACGGCGGCGCCGTGATCCCGTCGGGGGTAGGCGGGTCCCGGGCGACGTGCAGGCAGGGGCCGAGTCGTCTTATGCCGTGTTCATTTGTAATTGGTCCTTTTCTTCTGAGCGCTCTTCCCCCATTCGGTGGAAATTGGAGATGACGGGCGCGGGCGCGGTCTTCTTGATCGTGTCTTGCCCTCACTTTTGCTCGCTCGGCAGCTCCCCCCGTCCCGTCAGGAGGATGTCTTGTCAGCACGATGGCGGCGCGTGGCGGCGGGGGGCGGAACGGGGTGAGGCGGGGCGGGGTTCACGGTGGGGCGCGGCGGGGCGGGGCATGTTGCTCACGGTTTCCTGCCGTGCGCCGTGCGGCGCGGACTGTGATCGACCGTCGGCGTGGGTTTGACGTGCAGCCCCCGGGGCACCACCGCGCGTCGCCCGGGCAAAAGCAAGGCGGGCTGCCACTGGTGGAGGTGATGCCGGTATAGTGCAATGTTCTTACAATGTCCCCCGGCCTCCAGTCCAGTCGCAGCACAACACATACCATGCGCCTGGCTGACAGGCGCCGGCGCCTCAGCGCCCACCCCCGCGAGTGGCCGGGTTCGGGTTGCCAAAAATGCCTACTCGCTCGGGCCGAGGCCGCGGGGCGCCAGAGTCCGAGACGATTGGCAAGTATAGGTATACGCAACGCACGTGTAAATGCGGCGCAGTGTGTGACTAACCGGCTGTTCCGGCCGAGGCATTGTTTCTCTGCTTTCGTTCATCTGTCAACGCATAATGACATCCTTGACACGACAGCTGGAAACGCGTTGCTCTGGACTGTCTCTGTCCTTGGCCGTTGGGGGCGGGCGGGACACCTCCCTGCAGCCATGCCCGGTGGCGCCGACCACTACTAGCACAGCGCCGGCATGATGGGGGCGTCCCGCGTAATGACACGACGCCTTTTGAGGGTCATGCTGGGCTGGTCTGATTACGAGCCGGGGTGGTTCTGTCACGCTCGGTACTCGGTGTAGTTGAGGGTCCTTCCATACACCACCTCGTCCCCCCCTCCCCTCCTATCTAACGACAACCCAAAAACCTAAAGCCGCACCTCTCCGACCCGATGTGGCGCCCGAATCATCATCATCACCCCCCTCCACCCCCCGGTATTCAAAAGGGAAAAATAAATAAATATAAAATATGTTACTTTTGCTCCTGTCGCCGTCTTCGTTTTTCTCTCGACCGCACGCCTGCCCCTGTCTTGCCCACCCCGTCTCGCCCCGCCCCGCCCCGCCCCGCCCTGCTCATCGCCGTCGGCCACGCAGCAGTGCGCTGCGCTGCGCTGGTCATCCATCGGCAGAGCCTTAATTGGGCTGCAATTGGCTCTCGGCGCGAGGGCAGCGGGCGGGCGGCGGAGCCAGCGGACCGCCCGCGCTAATCACTGCCACTGCATCGGTTGGCAAAAAGGAAAAAAAAAAAAAAAAAAAAACAGCCTTTTTTCCACAAAAATGGCAGTCTTAACACCTTCCTTGCGGCTCATTTTTGGTGCCTATGATTTAACATGTATAGTATATAGATTTTTTTTAACCCGGCGTTTAAAAAGCGAGAGAGAGGGAGAGCGAAAAAAGAGATGGGGGCAGATATTTTTCCTTCTGATAGAGACAGTGTTGGGTTGGGCACTGTCTAAGATGACAAGTGAAGGTTTTCCGGTGATACAGTCGGATTTCAATGGCGCTTTTCACTGTAGCTGTTTGCACCCCTAGATACGGTTTTGCATTGGTTTTAGCTGTCCGAGGGTGTTTGAAGGTCGTTTTACGCGAATTTAATTAAAATTTCGTCAAATTTGTCCTCGCCGGACTATGGGCGGCCGGGCTCTGGGGCTCTGGGCGCCGCTGGCGCCGCCCCTTCCCTCCCCGCTCCAGCGGATCGATAGGCGACCACCGCCGCCCCGCGCCCCCCAGCCCTGCCCTCTTTGGACACGCCCTATATCGGAGCAGCCGTTTCGGAACTTCAACTTGACGGCTACCGGCCGGACATGAACACGGGGCATCCCCCTAGAGCTCTCTACCATACCGACGATACCCCTATAAAACCCTTTTGCGGACCCTACAACGGTGTGCTCCAAGTGGTGGTAGTGATGGCTGGTAGAGGTGGGGGTGAGAGTACTAAGTAATAAGGTATTCCGGAGAACGGGTAAAGAAGAACAGCACGAATAACAAGGTGGCCCGTGTTTGTCGCCCGGTCTCCCCCTCCATTTGGGCGACGAATCACAGGCCCCTTTGTTATTCGTGCAGTTCTTCTTTTCCAGTTCTCCGGAATACCTTATACAGACCTGTTGTACTACGTTACTGGTGGGATCGAGATCACAGCCTCGACCGTCCTAAGGAGAACGTCCAAGACAAAATTACGCCAAAATATGGCGTCAAAGTGGTGTCATTATGACCTTAAAGTCAAAATCTAGCCTTCCCAGGTAGGGACTTAGACGTCAAAGTGACCTGCAAAGACCCCATTGACTCCGTTCTGACCTTGGCGTCGTTCTAAGCCTAAGCCGACGTTTATTTTTGTTTTCTTGTCTTCTGTGTTACAGTCCGATGGAAACACGGCATTTCTGCGAGCTGCCCGTGCCGGGAATCTCGACAAAGTTCTTGAACATCTGAAATCCGACGTTGACATCAACACAGCTAACGCCGTAAGTGGATCTAATCGATTTTATCTTTCGCGCCATCGCTTGTTCTGCTTTCTGCTTCTGTTGCCAGTCTGGCAGTTAGTGTATTGTTTGTTTCCCGTCCGGCGTCTGACCGAGAGAAGTTGGATTATTTACATTTTTCATTATCATTATTATTATTATCAACATTATTATTAACAGAAGAGGTCATTATGTTTAATGTTTGGTAATTTTAGGGTTCTCGTTCATCTTCTCATTAAATATTATTACTCCTGCTTCTGTCAACTCTTGCTTTAATAATCTTGTATTTCAAAAAAAATTAGATTCCAAATTCCAAAAGCTTATTTCCAGCTTATCTTGTTAAGTGATTATCAACATACCACTGTATTGTTTCAGAATGGACTGAACGCTCTCCATTTAGCTTCCAAAGAAGGCCACACACATGTAGTAACAGAGCTACTATCTAGAGGGGCCACCGTTGACGCCTCCACCAAGAAGGGAAACACAGCACTTCACATTGCCTCCTTAGGTAAGTTTTGAATGAAGGTTATGCTTTTCTTCTGTGCTGTGTCATCTTCATTATCCTTACCTGAGTTTTTGTGCAGCGGGCCAAGAGGAGGTAGTGAGATTGCTGGTCCAGCATGGTGCAGCCGTCAACGTGCAAAGTCAAAATGGATTCACACCACTGTACATGGCTGCACAGGAGAATCATGACAATGTTGTCAAGTTTCTTTTGGCTAATGGTGCAAACCAAAGTCTTGCAACTGAGGTAGGGTGGCACCTGAGTTTTCTTTTCGTCCTATGATCAAATAGGTTTTAACATTTTCTGAAACCAATATTTTACAGGATGGCTTTACTCCACTGGCAGTTGCCATGCAACAAGGCCATGATAAAGTAGTTGCAGTTCTTTTAGAAAATGACACACGTGGGAAGGTGCGGCTTCCTGCGTTGCATATTGCTGCTAAGAAAGATGACTGCAAAGCTGCGGCTCTGTTGCTTCAAGTGAGAGCTCCAATTTCGTAAATTAGTAGACTGTCAATTCATATCAAAAGTTATCCAATAACTAATGTCAATTTAATTTTTTAGAATGAGCACAATCCAGATGTTACTTCTAAAAGTGGCTTCACACCTCTACACATAGCAGCCCATTATGGTAATGAAGCTATTGCAAATTTGCTTCTCAACAAGGGAGCTGATGTCAATTATTCTGCCAAGGTGAGCTTTATGTCTTAATATAAAAAACATTACTACTTACTCAAACTGTGAACCTGTAATTTTATTGTTATTCTGACCTCAAAGTTTTTTAAATTAAATTTTTTTGTGTCTTTTAGCACAATATTAGTCCTCTTCATGTTGCTGCAAAATGGGGTAAAACCAACCTTGTTGCTTTGTTGTTGGAGAGGGGTGCACATATTGAAGCCAAAACACGAGATGGTCTAACTCCACTTCACTGTGCTGCAAGATCTGGTCATGAACAAGTTGTTGACATGATGCTAGAAAGAGGTGCACCCATTAGCTGCAAAACAAAGGTATGGCAAGGTGGACGTTGGCTTGGTTCTTTCCATTCAAAAATTTGATAAATTTAACACAATTTGTTTCTTTAGAATGGTCTTGCTCCTCTTCACATGGCAGCTCAAGGGGATCATGTTGATGCTGCACGAATTCTCCTTTACCATCGAGCTCCAGTTGATGAAATAACTGTTGACTATCTCACAGCACTCCATGTAGCGGCCCACTGTGGTCATGTACGAGTGGCCAAACTGCTTCTTGATCGTAAGGCTGACCCCAATGCAAGGGCTCTTAATGGATTCACTCCTCTGCATATTGCTTGCAAGAAGAATAGAATTAAAGTTGTTGAACTTCTCCTGAAACATGGAGCATCGATAGAGGCTACGACTGAAGTAAGTTTATGGATCTACCAAATAGCTGTTCTTTTAATTTGTGACAATCTTGTTTTAAAATTTAAATATATTATTTCCTTCTTCTTTCAGTCTGGCTTGACCCCACTCCATGTTGCGAGCTTCATGGGATGCATGAATATTGTGATCTACCTTCTACAAAATGAGGCAAACCCTGATGTTCCTACTGTCCGGGGAGAAACACCCCTCCATCTTGCAGCACGTGCCAATCAGACAGACATCATTCGCATTTTGTTGCGCAATGGAGCACAAGTAGATGCTAGAGCAAGAGTAAGTAATGAAAATTAAATAGGGTCTACTTCTGTTTCATTTTCCATTTTTTATTCATTTGATAAAATGGTTCTTTCAGGAACAACAAACACCCTTGCACATTGCTTCCCGTTTGGGTAATGTTGATATTGTGATGTTACTGCTTCAACATGGAGCTGCTGTAGACTCAACTACCAAAGATCTGTACACTGCTCTGCATATTGCCGCCAAAGAGGGACAAGAAGAGGTAAGATGCCTCTTAGGCCGACGAATTATGGATCATGTTGATGTTGTTTACTTAATGGACAGGTTTTGGACTAGACGTCAAGAATATTTCATTTAATTATCATAATTCATAGAACTCAGTTTCCCCTTCAGTTTTGCACTGCAAATGTCAAGTTGATTTGGTTTAAATTTGTTGCATGCATTACACATTGTAGTAGTTATCTTCCTATCTCACTGGTCAGGCTGAGTTCTGGTTTAACCACTGTAACAGTTAATACTATATCTTACAAATAAGGATAATCTTTTGCCATTGATTACCACTCTCTTGCATGAGAAAGGAATGCCTAACTGTGATTTATGACACAGGGTCTCTTGTAAGGAAAGTACAATTTATTGAGGTGGTTCAAATATTTAAAAAAGATTTGTCTTCCTTAGTCAATACTTGTCTAGTCATCTTGTTTATCCACTCTGAAAATTTACAATATTTGGGTAGTTTAAAAGACCAATAAGAATGGTTTTGAGGTCCCAAATTATGATTTTTCTCAATGCCAAATGATGTGGAGAAAACCTCAATGTACATTAATTAATCAACAATTATCAATTTGATGATTAAAGTACTTGATAGGATCTGCATGCATAAACTGATCTTCCCCTTCTTTTCTGTTTCACTATGGAAATTTTGATCTAAATTCATGTTATTACATATTCCTTCTTCTTAGAGATCAAATAAATTTATGTAGTCTTTTTACCAATTCTTTTTAGACTATATTTATAGCAATTTTGAACTCTACTACTATTTCAACCACTGAAGAGTATTGTCCCGTGAACACAGATCTGTACAAATGCTTACCAAATCTCACAAGCACTCCAAAATGTTTATTTATCTATCTATGAATGCCTATGCCATTTTTCTATGTTTTATGTTGCATGTTTGTTGATGGTTTAAGCCAAGTGTTGTAGATTAGTCTATCAGTTTGTAGCCAGCCAACATACAAAATTGACCAAATTGATTTGCCTCTAATGAAAAATTTGAAAAAATATAGAACTAGCATTCAGTCTGCTGATTGCCTGAAAAGTTGAAATGTGTCCATATTTACTATTTACTCGACACATTTTCTATGTTAGCTGCATATTGTGCATAATGGATCCATGGTATATACCTGGACTAGTATGTTACACGCTGACTTCCAACTATTTTTGTGTCCTATATCTTAATGATTTGATCATTCATCTTATCTCACACTTTGTATTGGTTGTACGTACTGTCCACACAATGCCCTTATGTAGTTTCTGTCCACTACATTGCATGCAGGTGTAGGGGTGGGTTCGCTTATCTTCATTGACCACAGCTCTTAATGGTCCCCTGTGAGTAGGCAGCTCACCCATTAGCCTGCATGTTATACTGTGCAATAAAGGGCTGAGGAACTCATTGCTAGTTTTTTGCGCCTTCTGACCAGCTACCTATTACAATTTTGATTGCCTATTGATATGATTGTCCCCTAGTACTTGGTTCTGGGATTAAGGTTCTTTTCCCTCCTTATTTCATGATCTAGATCTATGTTTGCAGTTTTGTCTTGGTTGTAAAAATGGACTTCTCTTTTCCTTATCTTCCTTGGTTTCCATCTGAGCTGTTAGTCCTCCTCTCAAGTTCTGTACTTGTTTTGTTTTCTTATTTCAACATATATCATTCATTACATATATGTTAGCTAATTGTTATTTCTTTATTTCTTTACTTTTGGCTTTGTTGTTATCATTGTTGAAATAAATAGTTTGTTGGTCACATCTGAATTATGATTTTCACCTTGGTGAATTTTAGTAGCGGATGTGCTTAGAGGCGGCTTAATTTTTTAGTTGCTTATTGTTTAAGCTCACTTTCTGTATCTGCATAGATATTATTCTTATTTGTTTTCATCAATGTTGAAACATTACCATGCTTAACTTCTTTTTTGTTCTCTTTAGAAGCCGCATCTCAGTTTCATTCGCCTTTCCACTGTCTTTCTTTCTCTCATCACACTGTCTGTACATTTTTATTTGAAGGTAGACTCCAAATCATAGCTCGTATACCTTTGATTTGTGCTTACCTTTGTGATGTCATATTAGATCAAATTTCCCTCACAATTCTTCGTTCCATACCACTACCTGAGTGTAGTTTCTATTTTGATTGTGTGCACAGTCACCTCTTTTTTTATCTAATTAGTTTTTAAATTATTTATTCATAATCTAATCTTCACTTTACTGATTGTTGAGGGACGAATATCTAGGTTTCTTTCCTAATCCAAGAAAGTTTTATAAAATAATTAAACAAACAAAAACACAACAAATTCTGGTGCAGGTTGCCGCGGTTCTTTTGGAAAACGGAGCCTCGCTTACTGCTACAACCAACAAGGGCTGCACTCCTTTACATCTTGCTGCCAAATATGGCAACATGAAAGTTGCCAAGTTATTGCTACAAAAAGATGCTCCAGTTGACTCCCAGGGCAAGGTCAGATAACATTTGTATTACTATTAGTATTGTATTAGTTTTACCCTTTTGTAATTGAAATGACTATTTAATGAAACATATTTTTTTACATTGTAGAATGGAGTCACCCCTCTTCATGTTGCAAGTCACTACGACCATCAGAGTGTGGCACTCTTGTTGCTGGATAAAGGTGCCTCCCCTCATGCTACTGCAAAGAATGGGCACACACCTTTGCACATCGCAGCCAGGAAAAACCAGATGGATATTGCTACTACACTACTAGAATATGGGGCAAAGGCTAATGCTGAGTCTCGGGCAGGTTTCACTCCTTTGCATTTGAGCGCACAAGAAGGTCATACTGACATGTCCACACTTCTTATTGAACATCAAGCTGACACTAATCATCAAGCCAAGGTTTGCATTCAAACTTTTAACTTTCATCTTAAATGTTAATAAGTTACGGTCACTACAATTATGTCATGTTTCCTCTCGTCTGTTAACAGAATGGCCTCACTCCTCTACATCTTTGTGCACAAGAAGATAGGGTGAATGTTGCGCAGATTCTTGTAAAAAGTGGAGCAAATGTTGACTCTATCACCAAGGTATACTTTTAGTTCAAATGTTTGACTATTATGTAATATTATATTATTCAATGGCTTATGAACTAGACACTAATTAGACTCTCATTTCAGGCTGGTTATACACCTCTTCATGTCGCTAGTCATTTTGGACAAGTAAACATGGTGCGATTCCTTTTGCAACATGGTGCTGATACTGGTGCTGTGACTAGTGTTGGTTACACCCCTCTTCATCAGGCCGCCCAACAAGGTCATTCGGGTGTTGTCAGCATTTTATTAAATAGTGGAGCCCAACCCAATGTTACCACAAAGGTAGTGTACACTTTCAAAGTAACTCAAAATAATCTTTTCCCCTCTTTTTTTTTTTAAAATGGAAATCATTACTAATGCATACTATATCCATCCCTGGTGCATTACAGCAAGGACAAACAGCTTTGTCAATTGCACAAAAGTTAGGTTACATAAGTGTTGTGGAGACGCTTAAAGTTGTGACAGAAATAACTACAATTACAACCACAACCACAACCACAATTGAAGAAAAATATAGAGTTGTGGCACCAGAAACAATGCAAGAAACCTTCATGTCTGATTCAGAGGAAGAAGGAGGTAAGTTTCATCTTGCTCACAACATTCTCGTTTGGGCTCCACTCATTAAATCTATCTATGCATATAAATACCTGATTCAATATTTCAGAATCCTTCTATTTTTCACTATTTGAAGTATACACAAATTTTATTTCAAGTGTTAAAGAAATTTTTCAGACCTGGACAGGCTTTTTAGTAGTAGTTGGAAATCTCATTAAAGTTTCAAGAAATTATTTCTGCCTCTCTTTTTGTCTGCATTGTGTCTAGACATTTTTTTCTTTATGCTTTTACATCGTTTCTCTTTTGAGTTTTAATGATTTTTGATGTCTCTGCGGCTTTCCTTTTTGTTCTGTTATCATTCTGTTCAAAAGATTTGGGCAGTATAAAATTGTGTGAGAAGTTCCTGCTTGATACTTTGTATTGTATTAGATGTGAGTGGAGCCAACTCGAGGTTATCATCATCCCCAAACTTCTCAACAAGCCTGTTCTGTATCTGCAATAATGGTTCCTATTCTTTATCATTTTGTGCTTGCTTAATCATTTACCATTATCATTTCATCGTCATACCCTCACTTACTCAAATTTTCAAACATATTTTAAAATCCTTCCATTTTTTTCCATTGCCAATGCTTCCCTTTTTGTGTATTTGATGTTGCACACAACTGTTAGTGTAAGTGTGTGAGTGTGTGTTACTAGCAACAACGGTGATCAAACATTGACAGTAATTTTGTGTTCAAAAGCCTTGCAACAAGGCCATGCACTTTGCTTCCCACTTTTGTTTCAGCCAGTCTTTTTCTTGTGTTTGTCTCCATTTTCTTTTGCTGCATTCTTGTTTTGTCCAATTCAAAAAAAAAAAAAAAAAATAGGATTCCAATCTAATGGTTACTTTTTGTGCATTACATCCATCTGTCTATTCCATATGTGTATACTTCAACTTACTCCAGGCACTTATTAGATTTTATGGCCTGTTTCACTTCAATTATTGTGTTAAATAATTTGTTTTCACTCCTCACTGTAGTATGTAGCTTGGTGGAAATATTCAGGAGTTTATGATCTTATTGGTTTTGTTAAGGGCTTACCTCTATTTTGTAAAATTTGAAAAACTTAACATCTTGTGGGTTTATTTAAATAAGGATTCAAAAAGGGTCAAAAAATATTCTCTGAGGACTGAGGGCCTGTGGAACTTTAACCGAGATAAATATTTTATGAATCTCGGTATGATTTAAGGGGACCAAGGCCTCGAGTGCACTGGGATGTACTTCGGAAAACCCACGCACGCTCAGCATGTCTACTTGCCTTATTATGAAGGGCAATCGCTGCTCAAGCGTAAGTCATTATCCCATTACCCACCTGCGCACGCACTACAATAAATTTTGCTACCCATGATTTGCTTTAAAATGTGCCTCTTTTTTTATTCAAAGCATCTTCCATGTAGATAACTTTCAGCATAGTGCAATGTTCAGTTTTGCATTGGTAAAGTGGAAATTTAAACATACTACAGGATTTGGTTGGAGTGCAAACTAATAATAAGGATGAAAATGTCACATCAGATGTGATGTAAATATTGGCATTTACTCAAGGGCTTTTGCATTTTAAATTAAGTAAGCACATTAATAGAGCATCAATGCCAATGGTTTCACTGCCATTTTACTACTAGTTCGTGTTTCAATCATGACAATCCCATTTTGAATAGAAGTTATAGAAAGCAAAAAAATGGAGGGAAGGGTGACCCTGATAATATTGAATAACAGCCTGCCTAGTAATTCTCATAGCTCTCTTTACCTCAATACACACCTCATATTTGCCTGCATGTACGAAGCACATCATCTTTTTGAAATCAAATTTTCAAGTTGTTGTTTTTTTCTCTGTATGTTACTTTGTTTCTTAAGAAAGTGATCAATTTTTTTTTTTAAGATAATCATTAATTGTAAGGTAGCTTACTCTCTTTGTTGCCATACAAAAACTTGCTTGGTTCTGCTGCAATCCGTTTTGGAACTTGCAGTCCCCCCCCCCCAGCAAGACTCTCAAGCTTTTTAAATATGGCAGTGCAATAATTAATTTTTATTATGTACCCCTTTTTACTTTGTGATCTATCAAGTCTTTATCTAGGTACCCTAACCGAATTGCATGGCATGACTAAGTTTCTGGTTATAACAATACATTGTACTGAATAATATCATGTCCCAATATTTTTCTCCTAATTGTGTATGTGTAGGTAAAGTGTCTTCAATTGGGACATTTTTTTTTCAATCTTGAGCTTGATTTCTAAAAGATCCTATGTTTTTCCCTGGTTATTCTTTTTCCTTTTTAAATTTCTTATTTTGTTATATGTTAGCAGAGCGTCTTGTGCCAATGTAAATCATCAATAACAACCCTTAATGTTGCATTCACTCTGATTTCAGGAGAGGATACTCTACTGAACGAACAGCCATACCATTACTTAACTGTGGATGAAATGAAAAGCCTTGGAGATGATTCCTTACCAATTGATGTCACACAAGATGATCGGCATGATTCCAACAGAGATCTTGGTCTGTAGCTGTGATTTTTTTGTTTTATATGTACATCTATAGAGTAATTTTCAATAACTTGTGCCATATTCTTCTTTAATAGTGAGTCCCCAACATGTGAAAGAAGTGTATTCTGCCCAACTGAATTATGCATCTGATAATGTGGACATATCTCGACATCCAGTCAATGTTGGGTGAGTGCTTGGTTAAATGTCACTTGCCATCTAAAGCAAGGAAACTGTTTTTAGTTTCTAAATTTTTATTCTGTAAGTGTACTAGAGTTTTGGTTTCATCAAACATGTTAATTATTTGATTATATTTGTTTTTGTTTTTTTAAATTTACACCTAACTGAAGAATTTTACCTCATACAATGTGGCTCTAGTAGGCTCGGGGCTGCAAAACCCAGTCAAGCGCGACCACATTGTGGTCACGCCGCACTGAATTTGTCAAAAATATTGAAAATATCAATCAATATGTAAATGTCTAAGTTTTATTACTGATGGTCTTTTACTAATACAAATCATCTAGAACACCTCTAACATAACTCCTTTTTTGCTTCATCTTGATTAGTAGCTTTATGTTGAAAGCTAACCAATAAACTGTATTTTTTCTATTTCTTTTGCTTACTCCTTTGGGATGAAACAGAAAACTCAAGTGGAAGAAGTAAGTTATATTGTAACAAAACAATGCTTGCTTAGTACTACTCATGGTTTTTTCCTTAGCTAGTTCAAAGAAGTATGATAAAGCATCAAAGCAGCGTACATTTTCAATTTCTTGCATAGATTTAATGTAGTTTAGAAATGCGCAAAGCATGTACACACATAATCATATTGTAGTAGTAACAAAAAACATTCATCATTTTTAGCAATTGTTTTTAGTCTTGTCCCTGTTAAGAATTTTTTGGAAGTTAACTGGAAATTCCCCTTTATTTTATTCTATGAATTTGTTTGCTTGTTCAGCCTTTGCTAGAGTATGTCACAAGCTTGATTGTTCCTGCTCTTTTCACCTTCTTCATCCCTCTTTTAATTTTTAAAGGAAAAGTTAATTTAAAAAAATTTGTTTATGCCTATGAGTTCTGTTTATTATTTTACCTGCTTGTATCTCTCATAGTCTAGGTGCGTTCTTCCACGCAGATGGATTGTTGCATGCTTTTCATGTTTCTCATATGTGCTACAGATATAAGGGTACATCTTTGAATTGTAATTTAATACTTACTAACTTTTATTTATTGTTCTGCTTAATTCAGTTTCCTTGTGAGTTTCCTGGTGGATGCCAGAGGTGGTGCTATGCGAGGTTGCCGCCACAGTGGAGTGCGGGTGATTGTTCCCCCACGTAAGGCACCTCAGCCTCTTCGAGTCACTTGCCGATATCTGAAAAGGGACAAACTTAGTCATCCTCCTCCTCTCATGGAGGGAGAAGCCTTGGCAAGTCGTATTCTTGAATTGGGTCCTGTTGGTGCCAAATTTTTGGGGTGAGTTAAGTCTAAGTCAAAGTAATTCTAAGATTTTATTATCTATCTTAATTTGACATTTTCTGAATTTTTTCTTTTCTACATCTAGACCTGTGATAATTGAAGTACCCCATTTTGGTTCCCTTCGTGGAAGAGAAAGAGAAATAGTTATCTTGAGGTCAGATAATGGTGAGACATGGAGAGAACACACTGTGGAAGCAAGTGAAGATGCGATTCATGATGTCCTTAATGAGAGTTTTGAAAAAGATGGTGAGCGAAATGGTGAGGTGCACTGCGCTTTTGCGCTTTATTTTTTTTCTTTATTTTGTTGCTGTCCTATCCTATCCCCATCCTCAGATGTTAATATTTAAATTCCAAAATTTGAGCTTATTTGTTTGTCATATTTGTTTTTTCTGCATTAGCTTTTTATTTGCCCATCAGCAAAAAATTTGAAATTTGCAAGGTGCTTCTTTCTATATTTAATATTTTGATTCATTCCTTTTTGTTTTTCCAGAGCTTAGTCAGCTAGAGGTTTGTGACTCAGGTCGTCTGACTCGCATACTGACCACTGACTTCCCTCAGTACTTTGCTGTTGTGTCTCGAGTACGACAAGAGGTTCACGCCATCGGACCTGAAGGTGGAATGGTATCATCGTCAGTTGTTCCTCAAGTACAAGCAGTTTTCCCTCAAGGTGCTCTGACTAAGAAGATTAAAGTTGGCCTTCAGGTAAATTTATTTAAGCCTCGCAAAGGTATTACATCCACTAGTATGCTTAAAAAGATAACAGTTAACCACATTCCCAAAAAGAAGCGTTTCTCTTTAGTATGGTAATTTCAGATTCCACGTTTTACTGACAATTTATTTGGCTTATGCGCTAAGTAGGGTTTAGTTTTGTTCATGGCCCGTGTGAAAAGGGAACACAAAATATGTTGTTTTGCAGATGCTTAGAATATCAGGCCTCTCAAGGTTCACACATGCCTTTGTGAATAAAGTATCTATCAATTGTCCTGATTACAAGCTATTACTTCAATTTGTTTTCTGTGTTGTTATGGTGTCCCTTACTCTGCGGTATGCAGATTTTAAAAACTGGCTGTGTGATTGCAGTTTTGATAAGCCAAGCCTGACACTCTAAGTTTCTGCATGAAAGTGGGAATGCTGCATTCAGTTCCAATCTGAACAAAACTACTTACCAATTTCTATTATTCGTCCTAACATATGTAACTACTACTAATAATCAATTTCTATTTATAATACTGTAGTCCCAATTAGTGGCCCAGGTGTTTGTGTCTTAAAGTAATGAATTTGTACATACTATGTTGTACTTCCACAAGGATTTCATGTCTTGGTGTGATATTGATCTCAACTGACATTGTCTCTACTATACCTTCCTCCCCTGTATGCCTCTTCCCTTTCTTTTTCTCTTGTCTCCTTTGAAATTATTAGAATTTTGTTTCAATTTTGAAGGATTTATCACTAAGGTTAGCTATTCTAGTCATTTTCTTTTATTGTACTTATGTGCAATTGTACAGAGTTATCTGAAAGTCTAGTCATCTATTCATCTGAAGCATGCATGATCTTTGAAAGAATTTCATGTTGTTGTCTTTATCAATTTAATTCTAACCATTCTAATTGGGCTAAGGGATTATCATGAAGATTTTGTTGTTATGATTTTGAAAACCCTTCAAACTTCTTTTTTGTGTCAATTTTTATTAAACTATTAGTTAATTCTGTTTTGGGGGAATTGCCAAGATTATACTAGTTGTTTGATTTTGAACGACTGGATAGCATTTCCCTGATCTTTCATTGCATTCCCTGAGATTTGGTGAACTTGAATTAAGGCTGCCATAATTCATTGGAGTAGGACTACACAAACACAGTTAAAGCAAATGGGAATATGAATATCTGACATCTTGTATAAGTCACCTTGCAAATCTGCTAGAGGTAGCTTTAAGATGTTTCTAGACATAATCCTGTTGATGATGCTCTTGTTAATTTGGCTCATATAATTTTACCGTGTAAATATTGATGGGGCCAAACACCGAACCTTAAAGTTCTGTGTGTAGTGCCATCTAGAAAAGTTTTTCTTTGACCGTTGAGTTATCAACATTATCAGTTTGCATAAATATTTACAATACATCTTACAAGTTAACCACCTTGAAATGAAGACATAAATTTAATTAGAGACACAAGGTATTTAAAGCATGGTTTCTGATATCAATAGTAACTAAGTGTAGTATGCTGATGTCGTAGGAACGTAAATTGTCACTCAGAATGATAATACTTGTCAGAAAAGTATGTTAAAAACATAAGCAGCTTTAAGACACCTCTTTTTCTTGATCTAAGTGACTACATCCCATGTCTTGTGCATTTTCTGTTGTCTTTTTACTCCTTGTATCTACTGTGAAAGGCGTGATGCCAATTTGGATATGATTGGTGGTGGTGTTTTAACTTGACTGTTTGCACTTTTACCTTTCTTTACCTTCTGTAGACACATTCCTCTGCACCTTGCTTTAATAACAGGCTTCTGTATAATCTTGTCAAAGTGTGTGCCCAATGAAATTAGTTCAAGTCAAAACTATTCGTGTTTATCTCTCAAGAAAAAATAAAATGTGTCTGATATGCAAATATTGGTGTTGGTTGTTAAATAGTCTTACTGAGCCTAATGTCAACCAAGAGCATGCCAAAGCATGGTTCGAAAAGTAGCATTGTACCTTTTGCTGTAAGCAAGGAATTCCACCATTTTATGATATTTTCTTACTTGTTGAAAAGCCTAAAAAATATCTTGCATTGGGTCAAACATGTAAATCCTAAATGTGAAATGAGAAATTTTGGTTGTAAGGAATTCCTTTGTCTTAGTTCTCAGTTATCTGGCACTGTATTAAGTTTTCTTTTTTTACAAAAAAAATGACTTCCTAATTTTATTGGGCGCCTTGCTTGTTGCTCAACTTTTTCACTTATTTGATTTGGCTTTGCACTGGCTTTGTGTGTGCGATTGGTGCTATATTTTCGAGCCCTGCTTACTGTAAGCTGTTGGTTGCTTCACCCCTCTCTTCACCCCTTTCTGTTTTCAGATATTTATAAGAACACTTTGCTCTGGAGAACACACATTGCTACTTAAATTTGCCCAAGATATCACACATTTAATTATGATTTTTTTTTTTTTTGAGGTACTTCAGAATCCAAGTCTTCTTTGGACAAATATTTAGATTAAATAAATGAGAAGTAATTAGCATCGCGTAGGCTCATTGAAGACAATTCTCGTATAAAAATATAAAGTAAAGTATTCTCCTTCCTTTTACACAGACTTATGCTGTTGTTTTTTGAGACATGAACAGCTGTATTCTGATATAAACTGAATTTATTGGTTTTCGTTATTTCCTCTCCCATTTGAACACTTTATAATTTAAAGTTAACATGAGACATTTGGTGAGTACTTAAATATTCTCTGCCATCAGCGTAGATATATACCTTTTCATTTTATTGTGCTTGTTGTAATTCCTTACAGTTCACTGTATTTGTAGCATACCAGAGAATCCTAGATCCTGATTGTTTTTGTCTTCTATTTCTGCTCTAGTATAATAATAAGTACTAGATCATTCGCTGAGTTGTGTTGCTTTCTTCAACCATTCCCGCTGTAGTCTGTGGTGTTTTGAAACTTGAGCTTTTTAGAGGGTACAAAGCTACCCCAGATGTTGTGCTTCCGCCTTTCAACTGGAGCTTATGCCTTTGTGATCTGCATAGAGCTCTTTTATATTGTATAAATTTTGTTCTCGTTCAATAATACATGTCGCAAATCTATACTTACTATTAGTTTTGTGAGTGTGTATCTTTTGCTGTATTGCTGTGCAGATTACCCCCCCCCCCTCCTTTTGTTGTGTGTTTATATTGTTGTCCAGTTTTACATCTTGAGCTGACATATTTCTCACTGCTTGTGACTACTTGTTCAGAGACAGTAAAACCAAGAAAAGTTTTATACTTTCCTATTATCCTACTAGTCAATTAAGTTGTCAGTTGAGTTCAAGACTAGATGGAACATTTAAACCAAAATGTCTTTCTGGGTACTGCTGAAAGAGAAACCTTCCTAATGGATCAATGTGTAACCTTTCTTAAGCTTGAATTTGAGAATTTTTTCTCAAGGATCTTGGGATTTTTCAAAAGCAACATATTTACAAGCTAGATTTGATAACTAAAATATGGGATGAGAAAAAAAAAAAAGAAATCAACAGTTTTGTGTTTTAACTCCTTACAGGCCCAGCCTATCCAAGCTGATTTAGTGGCAAAACTCCTCGGAAACCGGGTTGCTGTTTCCCCAATTGTCACTGTAGAACCAAGACGACGTAAATTCCATAAGCCCATCACGCTGACCATACCTGTGCCTCAAGCTGCCAATAAGGGAATGATTAATCAGTATTCAGGCGATGCACCAACATTAAGATTACTGTGCAGCATAACAGGTAAGTTCATTCTGTTCAGATTTGTAATAATAGGCTCTTGATACTGATGTGGGTTTTAGTTTATCAGTAAGGAAATTTCATTTGTTGGGAAACAATTTTGATACCAACTAATTATCTCCTTGTGGAATAAGGATCCACTTGCTCTGGGCTTGTGATGTGACAAACATATTTCTGTTTTCTTACACCCTAATTTTAAGGCTTTTGTAGGTCATTGTGGATGGTATATTCATAATTTTTTTCATTTCAATTTTTTCTTGAACTATTTGTGGTGAAATGAGACAGTTTCAAATGCATGAGGTTAGTTAATTGACTCGTGCTGATGAGTCTTTTATTTTTCACTCATTTTTCCCAAACATTTATTAATTATTTTTTCATTAACTTGAAATCACCCTCTAATCAAGGACTTGTTTTAATACCTTGACATGTCAGTGGTCATGATAAATGTTTTGAAAGAACATGGCCTATGTGTTGTTTATTTTGCGGTGCATGGTGATAGTAACACTTGCAATGGGCATGTAGTGTGAAAATGTAGAAATACCTATAGGTAAAAATTGTAGTTAACATGTCAGTAGACCATTGCTCAGCTTCAATAAAAAGGAGCACCATCATGGAAACCCATACTCAAGTCATATGACCCTTTCCAGTGTTCATGATTTGTTTGTACATGTGTATTATGTTTACATGTTAACTTCTAATTGGCACATAATTTAGTGATTTTTAAAATGTTATAGATGTGTCTAGAGGATATAGCAACTAGAGTTTACGAATCATTCCCTTGGTTCAATTTCATCTGATGAAGTATGCTTTTAAGATATAATATAGTTTTCAAAATTTTGAACTCTAATTAATGGCTGTTAGTATGAAAATTATTGCAGTACCAACTTATGTAAATTTTATCAAAACTGCATTAATTAGACTTGTGGCTATTCATGCTGCTTGCATGTCTTTTTTGCTGACTCTTAACATTCTTCAAATCAAAGCCTTAAAAAAAACAATTTGACAGGTCATAATATGCAATTTGCCCTTCTTTTATATCTTGAGCAATAGTAGAGAAAACTTGAAGAGTATGCAGAATATTTAGCTGAATATTTTACTAAATTCAAATGGAGGATAAATCCCTCATACAGTGGAAGTGAAAGAAAACTGCCCCGTGCAATTTTTTTTTTAAACACTCACATGGACGTTCTTGTATACCATAGGGAAATGCATATTTTGCTTCTTACATGGGTTTTCAAAGTACACAGGATCACTCATGTAGTATAATTGCACAAACAATTATTATCTGACCCCCTTAGCACTCAACTGCTAAGCAATAGTTTTGATTGTAAACTGTTCCTAGGTTTACATGCAGATAGGCACATGCAGTTCACTTCACATGTATCTAGATTATTTAGCATTTCATACTCCTGGATTAAAGTTACCATTTGCACAACTGGCTGAAAAATATTATTTACATCAAGATGTAAAGAACATCAGTTTGTTGGAATGTATTATTAATAAGTTTCACTCATTTCTACTTTCAAAACTTTAGTGCAAGTGCATGCACAAAATGGGCCTAAGCTTATGTTTAAAACTGATTATTAGTGTCTGTGAAATAGTGGTATGAAAAACATCCATTTTTGAGAAAAGTGAGATATAACAATTGATGTGCATGTGAACAATTAGTGCAAGATTGAAGTGGTCTGTAAATAGCTGGGTAGCCACAGTCTATGCACAGGTAATGTACTTAGACTGTTGTGCGTCAAAGTTGTTTAGATTTTATTGGTCTCTTTTTTATGTTTTTGACTAAAATGGTGTTAGAAGCTCAGCTTTGCGGTTGTGTCATGTAGAGTTAATTCTCCATTAGATCCTATGGTTACCCATGAGTTCAGGCTGCTGCGTGATTCATAAGTTGGAGATGTGTGAAATCTCTTTCCAACAGTAAATTGTCGTATTGGACACATCGCCAGCTAGATTGATATTTGATAAAGGTATCATCTGTTAGCTTGTCTTATTTATTGAATGCTGGCTTAGTCCAAGTAATATACAATATAAGATGTCTATTACTTTTTAAACCCCATCGACTATGTGCCAGGCTGTGCTTTTGTTTGAGATTTGATCTGTTGACTCTTTAAATAGCAAGTAGTCTATCTATAATAATTCGAGGGGACTAATAACTACGTCCCCTACAGCCTAATGTCTAAAAAGCAACTACACAAGATTTAGGCATAAAATTGTGGGGAATATGTGTGGAAGTACTGTTGGAAATCTTCTCGAAAACATTTCTGTACAGCTGTACAGTAAAACAGAACTATCAGTGCCTTACAGGAAACATTTACTATTTACTTATTGTACCTACTTTTCTTACAAATTTGATGTTTGGTGTTGGTTAAAAACTTTGTTTCATTAATGCCTAACAATATGTCCGTATAATGTATATGGACATAAGTATGTCTGCTGTTAAATCAGTCTTCTTTGTTTATATTAACCTCTCTAAATACTTCATTTTATTTATTATTGCTGTCCTAAATTTTTTTCTCTTTGGCCTTTCCTTATCCTCATGCATAGCCCCTTGTTTTCCCAATTTTCTCTTCTTGTTGCTCTGGTGCAATGTTTCCCTATACTAACAAGTACTCACTTCTGGCGCAACGCTGCACGCATGGGCAGGCCTGTTTCGGAAAAGATCCCTTAAAGGATTTAAAGGTAAAGGCCCATTCAAACTAGTCACAAATATTTTTTGTTTACCTATTGTTTTTATTAATCATAGAAAATATTCCTTTCTTTTGTCTTGAATTTTTACCAACCATCAGTTATCACTCTTTCCTCAATCAGGAAACGCTATCACACTTCTGCAAAATTTTATTTCTTTTCTATTTGTGTTGTTTATGTTTTGGCAATGACTAGATGTAAAAGAAATTTTAATTTCATTGTGGCTCAGACAATGTTTTATTGAAAATTTATTTGGCTTAAATTTCTGGTATATCATTCCTTAACTCTTTTCATTGTTGGACTTCAAGTAATTAATTCATGTAGTGATCGTTTCTCAGACTTTTGTACACCCCTAAACCTTTGCATCTGTTCAGGATGTGTCTTTTTTTTTTTTTTTTTTTTTTTTGCCTCTGTACCACTTGAGGACAGTACTTTCCTATTGCTTAAAGTTCCGTTTCAGTTCAAAGGAACAATATTGTCACTAACCAAAAAATGTAGCATGTCCCAAGCTTCCATTTTGTTTCACAATCTGGGTGCTCCATTTAAGCAGTACACTGGATATTCGCACATTTGATTTATTTTTTGGTTCAATTTTTATTTTGTCAATGCTACCTCATAATTTTGTTTTAACTTTTTATATAGACACTGCCATTACCTTCTGATGCTTATTAATGTGAGGATTTGAGAGTTCCTCACCACAAACATAACATGTGATTTCAGCTTTCATCTCCTTATAACAAATATGTCACTTTCTGCAGCTGACCTCCTGAGTCAGGCATAGAGAATAGGCCTAGCAGCCCTATTGAGGGTCTTTTCTGAAACTCTGCTTGTCTAGAAGAGCATTGTTGTTTGATATAGCGCTTGCTTTTTGTACAGCTTTTGTCCTTTTCTAATCAATTGTAGCAACCTGGTCAACTTGTAAATCACTGAGAAGAAAAAATTTTGCACTCTTTTGTGAAGTGTTGCCTGAATCTATTACAGTTTGACCTCTGTTTGTTTTCATCCAAATTCAGGATGTCTTTGGGTATACTTTTAGAGTTCTTATTGACCTGTGTAGGATTGGGATTGTGCATTCTCTCACGTCAACATTCTAGCAATCCATTTAATTATCAATGCAAATATTAAGATGCTTTATTGCCACACAGAGTGCACATTTAAGTGTGAAAGTTTTGCAATATGTAGCCATTGGTCAAAATATGCTATGTTACCTTTCAAATCTAAACAGGGCTTAAGTAAAATAAAATAAATATGTGGTTTATAAGTCAAAGTTTGGGGAGTTTCTTACAAAGAAAGTAGGTATTTCTCTCATGGTAGACTTTGACTAAGATTTTTCTGATATCAACTCTACAATGTAGAAGCTTTATTGGACCGTTTAAATGAATCATTCTTACATCTCTTCTGTCTTTCAAATGACACACTACATGTCATGCACAGTGATTTGAGCTTTAAACCATAAACCATAGTGGTTCTAGATTCCTTTAGATTATCCAGAGCACCCGAGTACAGTTCTTCATTTAACTAATCATACCACTCACTCACACTACACTCAGTAATTGGTGCACTCAGCAGGTAGAGTAATTTGAGTCTTGCTGTAATTAATGCTCTTTGTTTTCTCATCATTAATAAATTATTCATTTATTGGAGATTTAGTGCACCTTCTGAAGTGCAGTCATTGCATTAGGTTGTTATACTAAATTGGTGAATGGAAGCATTCTTTGACTTTCAGAGTGGAACTTAATTTTCATTTATATTTTTGAGAGTACAACTGTGTTGTTATATCCCCTGATATGATGTAGAAGTTAGGGTTCTAGGCTATTTTCATTCAACTGCAAGTTCTAATAAGCTTTTTAAAAAATAAATGTGTGGTTTGTATTTTTTTCTTCTTTTCTGTGGTCAATGAAGGAAATGGTGCGATTGCTTTCGACTAATGCTTCCATCACCTCAATTTTTTTCCTATTTGCTAGTAGTGTCATTTTAAGTGTGTATCCTCATTCAGTCTTCCTTCTTATATTCTTCACACAAATTTCTTAAGTTTTGGCATACTCAGTTTCAGCGCCATTATATGTCACTATCCACATGCTTGCCCAGCTGTCACATATTCATCAACTTATTAGATCCATCTGAAATATAGCTATCGTCATTAACTATATTTTCAATATCTTACCTTGAACAAAGTCAGATTGGTTGTAATAGAAAACTGGAGTGATTTGTTGCTTGATAGGGTCAATAATTACAGATTTGTTTGGCTTGTGCACATTTTACATAAATATTAAAAAATGTGCTTGGTATTTTTTTTTCAGGAGGCACTACAAGAGCCCAATGGGAGGATGTCACAGGTTCTACACCTCTCACCTTCGTAAATGACTGTGTGTCATTTACCACTACTGTGTCAGCAAGATTTTGGCTTATGGATTGTCGGAATATATCTGAAGCAACCAGAATGGCCACAGAACTTTACAAGGAAGCAATACATGTTCCATTCCTGGCAAAGTAAGAAATTGCTGACATTTTCTTTTCAGTTTACATTACTTTATAGCATGCATTCATACCAAACGTTTTCTATGATTCAGGTTTGTGGTGTTCTCAAAGAGGGTTGATTTCTTAGAAGCTCGTCTGAGGGTATTTTGTATGACTGATGATAAGGAAGACAAAACCCTTGAGCACCAGGAACACTTCACTGAGGTGGCCAAGAGTAGAGATGTAGAGGTATGTCATGAGCATTAGTCTAGATGCGTTTAATATTCTGGGTCTGAAGTTTGAATAGGGCAAAAGACTTAACTGTGGACTTATTTTTTATCTGTTATAGGTGCTGGAGGGTAAATCACAATTTGTGGAGTTTGCTGGTAATCTTGTTCCTGTGACGAAGTCTGGTGATCAACTGCAACTTGGTTTCCGTGGATTCCGTGAGAATAGACTTGCTTTCACAACAAGGGTTAAGGATCCTCATGCTGATGCTGTAGGAAGAATTCTCTTCATGAAGGAGGCCAAAGTATGGAGAATTTTGCACTATTATTATCATTATTTTAAAAATATTTGTCTTCCTAAAAGCTGAAAAATACCACAGAGAATCTGCCACTTATTGTGAGATGTTTCATTCAATCATCTTCTGTTACAGGTGCAGAAAGGTGATCCCCCACAACAACCTGTTTGTGTGCTGAATATTGTTCTTCCTGATGATATCATCCCTGAATCAAGTACTGCCGAATCAACTCCTCAAAAATATAGTCATGTTCACCTCAGTATCAATGGTAAAGTTTATTTTCTGTTAAACTTTCAAACCTGTCTCAAACAACAATAACATCATCATCAACAACAACAACAGTAATACTAATAACAATTCTTGCTATTTACAGGGTCTTCAGCACCAGCTAGACCAGAATTGAGACTTTCTGACATTAGCAACACACTAGGCTCCGATTGGGAATCATTAGCAGTAGAGCTAGGTCTATCAAGGTCTGATGTTGATAGAATAAAAAGTGATCACCCTGCCTCTGCTGCTCCTCAACATGCAATGGCTATGCTAAGGCTATGGCTCCAGAAATTAGGCAACAAAGCTTCTGGTGAGCATTTCTTGTGCACCTACATCAAAAGAGTGTAATTTATTTTATATTTTCACTTAATGTTTTAATTTTGGTGTTGTTTTCAAATCCCAGGTACAGAGCTTCAGCAAGCACTCCAGAGGCTTGGCCGAGATGACATCATACACCGTTGCATGATAAGCTGTGATGACCAAGAAATGAATTTAACTTCCAGTCATTTGGGCTTAGACCAATCTGGCTTTGATAACTTACAAGAGGAGTTGGGAGTGAGTAGAGATGTTTCAAGAGATGCATCTAGAGAGGCTTCATTACGACGAAACCTTAGTCTAGAGGCTGGAGGGCCATATGATGAACAAGACATCATGAAGGTCAGTAGGGTAAGGACATTGGTATTAATTGATTTCTGCAATCTCCCCTGGCCAGTGTTATAGAGCAATTTTATTTTATGTCTTTTTAAAATTTTTAATTGATTATTCTTGGTTGTTTTTATTAGGATTCGGAGTCTGTTGAAGAGCTGGTAGAAAAGCCAATACATACTATAGGTATTCTCATAATTTCAAACAAACAATCTTGTGCACCCACTTAAGTTTGGAGATGAAAAAATGTGTTTCTTCTATTGTGTGTGTTTTTGCAGAGAGGATAGAAGAAGTAAAACAAATTGACAAGCATCACCGGGAGCAGGATGACAGCGAAGAAAGAAAATATGTTGCAGAGGAGAAAGAAGTAGAAGAAAAACGAAAGTCAGTTAGGGAAAGGACCCAGGATATCGAGAAAAGACTCTCACAAACTTCAATGGAAGACCAGCAACAGAGAAGAGATTCCCAACTATTCCAGGGCGTTAGTGAGGGTTTGGAGAGGCTGAATGTAACACAAGCAACAGAAGCTGGAGGTAAGAGCGCAATCCTTTTCAATATCTAATTGACAGAACGGGCTTTTTAAAGAGGATCGGCAAGCTATTCCAAATCCTATTAGTATTCAGCTTCATAATGATTAAACCATGAATAAACAAAAACCATATAGTGGTTGCCTTAACTACATATGTAATGTGACTGGAAATTGTAATTACCGGAATTATTTTAATGTTTGTGAAGTTGTTCTTCACAAAATAATTTTGGACACATACTGTTGTGTTATTTGCAGACCTGCTGTCCCCAGGTGTGGTACAGACACCTCCGCCTAGTCCCGCTGAACTCCCCTATGACGCAGGTTTGTGTGTCACATTGTTGTTTCATTTAGAAAACATACCCTTTCACTTTTCTTATGCAGTGGGAATATTTAACATAATAATAAAAGTTTAACACATTTTGTTATTTCATGGTGTCAAAACGCCCCTCTTTGGCCAATTTTTAGATCTCGCATGTTCTATAAACTTTACTACATGTTTCAGTGGTTTATGATGACATCAAATATTTTGCATCATTCTGTTTTAGGTGAACACAATTGGCATGAAAGTAAGGTTTCAACAACAACAACTATAACTTCTGAACAGCATTCTGGCTCTCAAGGTAGGACGTGAGCGACATCTAGCGGACAAACTTCGGCATGACCCTGCTGGCCAAGATCCACCAACCTGCTGCTTGTCACCTGCTTGTGCTTATTTATGCTGCCAAGTGATAAGCTCTTTTTATTTTTCCACTGGCTTTTTTTGAGATAGTGGACTGATTGTAGAATGTAGAGAGCATGGTTAGAATAGTAACTTTAGTGCAAAACGCACAGTTCTAACCTGATGGTAAATAAAACTCATGGTTTTAGTTGCCAGTAAGAAGATTTTTTAAAAATCAATTTTGCTTGTAAAGCATTGGCTGACAAAAGTTGATTCAAAATCTCAGTCATTGCAATGAATTGTTATAATGTTGAATTTCTTTTCTCCAGAAGAAAAACCTGATTTGATGGGCGATTACTTTTGTGGTCTGTCTATTCTTTACCCCAAACTTTAAAGATCAGGTTATTTTTCTGGGGAATTGTTTATCTAAAGTATTACTGGACAGTTATGATTTGTCCCTGGGTTAGTTGTATAGAATGATTTCTTATGCGTTTTTGGAGTTGCAATGAAATGAAACATTTCCATTCCGCATTAATATACATTCAGTTAATTTAAGATACCTACCTAATTTATGTTTGTAATTTCCTCTTTATTTATTTTAGCTTCTAATTTAATTCAGAACAGTCAAACAGAATAAGGAATCAAATTCACTGCTTGTTTTCTTTTATTGCATTTTATTTAAGCTACCATTACAGAAGCGTTTTGTTTTGTTTTCTTAATTAATGAAATTAACTAATTTATGGAAAAAGAAATTAGAAAAAGCATCTTGGGTTAAAACCTAAGCCCTAACTATGTTTGTTCAGAAAACATGTTGTAAAGTAAAACTCAAAATAAATTTTTTTCTTTTTTGTTGATATATTTGCAACTTTTGGATTTTCCACATGTGATTTGACACGTACAACCCTGACACTAATCAGCATGGCATCCTAAACCCTTCTGCTCTTCTCCGTGTATGCTGCCTTAGTAGGATTTTTTGTTATTTGATGCACAGCACACTTCTGCAGGTCAGACCACACGATTTCTCTCCATACAAAAGTTACAGTCATACTTTTCCCCAAAATAAAATATTGACAAAGGAGAGGTAACTTTAACAATGATTATTGTAATTATGTGCAAGTACTATGGTTCATTATGAATCAAAACGCCAAGTTTTTGACTATCATTCTTCCTGAGTCTATACTCAAGAAAAATGTAGTGCCCTGCAAAGTCTTTTGCACTTGAGGGTGTTCTCCGACCTAGGTAATAGCATTACACCCCCACCTGCTGCAGGGCCGACCCGCCCTTCGCCTGCTCCGCCTCCGCCCTACTCCGCCCCCCCCACCCCCTTCTGCTGCCAGTAAGGGTGGCATGGACAGTGCGTGGCCTTCCGTTCCCAGCCGAGTGCACCCAGCTAACTCGTCCGACTGAGTCGCATTTCTTGTCAGTTTGTGGAAAGACTTTGCCGATCGCGTGCCGTGTCTCAGGGCGTTTCCAAGATATACCCGAAGTTGTGGGTCACATTGAAATAGATGCAGTGAAGCCTTGACAGTGGAAAGCACAGATACTTAACCTGTAGAGCAGGAGATTTTGGGTATGTAATTATCAGCATTTTCTTGTTGTTAAAGTTCTTGACACATGAAATACAAATGAGTGAAGGTATATGCGGGTATTTTAACTCTGATCAAATGAACTTCAATTCGCAATGCCTGAATCCTGAACAGCAGTCAGGCGACGCCCTAACCTAATCTGATTTGCTACGTTTGCGGTCATTGACGCCGACTGTAATTCTGAAAGTATTGTTGTTCCATTTTGTCACAGTGAAATGCCCCTCAGTTTATTCCTTTTTTAGCGCGAATAAGTAAAACAAAATAGTGGGTAGAACACCAAAGGGCCCTGATTGGTCAACTATTTACCCCCACCACTTGAGGATCAAGCAAGCGGCGGTAAACACTCGACGAATCAGGCTTCTTGATTTGTTCTTCGTTTTCCTCAATGGAACCTTTAAAGAAATTTCACGCTTAACAAGAATGGAATGTTTGGATTGCTTTCGAAATTCTCTCAAACCACCGCCGCGGCCTACAGTTAGAGGCTTTATCAGCTTAAGGATCTTAACATTTTAACATCTTAACCCTTTATGGTCACCTTCTGAGTGCTTTATAGAAAAAATTATTTTTTGCCAATTCCTAATAGTTTTGGATCATCTGAGTCCACTGACACCAAAAAGTTCGACCTAGGTTAAATCGGTAACGAGATATGGG